CAAACAAAGAAAGGGGGAGACAGAAATGGAGGGGGGAGAGAAGGACAAAGAGAGACAAAGACACAAAGACAGACGGGGGGAGGGACGGAGGCAGTGGAGAGGGTGGGCAGGAGGGAGGGAGAGAGAGACAGAGAGACAGAGAGAGAGAGAGAGAAATAGACACAGAAACACACAGACAGACAGAGGGGGAGACAGAGAAAGAGAGAGAAACAAGAGACAGACAAAAACCCCACCAGGAGGCTAAGCAGACCATTTACAAGCACTGACTGGACTCCCACTCACTCAGGAACCCTTTGCTGACTGCCTTCTGACCTCACCACTCAGTTGAAAATGCTCTCTGCAAAGACATCAGTGATCTCCTCATGGCCGAGCAAGTGGCCTTTTCTCAGTGGTCATAGTTCTTGACCTCTGGGCAGCACTGGACTGCATTGATCAACCCCTCCTCCTGGGTACTTTCTCCTCCCCTGACACCACTCTCTTCCCGGGCCCTCTCAGACCTGCTGTACCTGCTCCTCAGTCTCCTCTACTGGGTCTTCATCCCTGTCCTGCCCCATGACCAGAGCTGTCCCCCCAGAGCCTCTCTGTCTTGACTCATGTTCTCTTTTTACAACTTTCCTCTTGATGATCTCATCAGCTCTCATGGGTTCAATCTATCTGCATGCAAAGAGCTCCCAGACCTACAAATCACTCTTTCAACAAGTGTTCATTAAGTGCCTAGAATACGACAGGCACTATGCTTGGTGCCAGGATGCAAGGACAAAAGTAAGACAGACGCTACAGTGTCAAGAAACATACACGATTAATTACAATATATCCATCTCTCATCTTTCTCCTGAGCTTGTCAAACAGACATCACCAACCCACTGCTGATCATTGTCAAATGGATGTCCCATAGACATCCCAAACTCAGCACAACCAAGTTGAAGCTCATTCTCCCCCCCACCTCCCCCCTCAAAAAACCCCCCAAACTCCCTCCTCCTCCAAACGTCCTCCGAGTCACCTAGGTCTGTGATCTCAGAGTCACATTTCATCAACCACATCTAATGAGTTGGCAAATTCTACTGAATTCTGCTTCCTCATCTCCCCACTCACATGGCCTCCACACGGGCCTGAGCTCATCCTCCTTCTCACGGCTTCTCAACAGGACTTCTGGTTTCAAGTTCCCCCCTCCCCACTCATCCTGCACATAAGTGGCAAGATAATCTTAATAAAGCACATGTGACTGTGTCAAGAATGTCAATGCAGTGTTTCTCTATTATCTCCAGGATAAACTACACACTTCTCAGTTTGAAGTTTAAAGAGCTTCACAGGCTCCAGTCTTCTTTCCAGACATTTCACACTATTCCTCTATATCGCAACCAAATTTATCTGTTTGCTGTTCCCCAACTATGGCATTCCATCTCTTGCCTTCATCGTTTAAAAAATAGATTTTATTGATATCCTTTATTTTAAAATTGCCTAACCTTGTACCTTTCCCTCCATTCCTTTCATAGTGCTATTCCTTATAACAAAGACAAAGATCTTTTTTTAAGAAAAAGAATAAAAGAAAAAATTCAGTAAAACCAATCAATGTTGCTGTTCAGTTGTGTCTGACTCTTGGTGACCCCGTTTGGGGTTTTCTTGGCAAAGATGCTGGAGTGGTTTGCCATTTCCTTCTCCAGCTTATTTTACAGATGAGGAAACTGAGGCAAACAGGGTTAAGTGACTTGCCCAGGGTCACACAGGTGGGAAGTGTCTGAGGTAGGATTTTAACTGAGGTCTTCCTGACTCCAGGCCTGCTTAGCTGCCCAAAATATCCCGATCAATACCTGCCTAGAATGCACTCCTTATTCCCCTCTGGTTCTTTAGAATCTTTTCATTCATCCTAGGTTCTGTTCACGTCTCACTTTTTACAGGAAGCCTTTCCTGATCCTTCTAGTTGTCAGTGATCTCTGTATCACCAACCTAAATCAATCAACATTTATGAATCACCTACTATGTACCAGACATTGTGCTAAATGCTGGAGATACAGAAAGAGGGAAACGGCAGTGCCTGTGCTCAAGGACCTTACAGTCTAATAATATCACCTCACCCCCAGTCCATAATCCATCTGGGAACAAGGACAGTTTTTCAAAAATTTTGCCTTCCTTGCATGTAGAAACTGGTGCTTAATAACTGTGTATTGGATTGGTTGGAAAGTAGACTGAGTTGTGTCTTGAAGAAAGGGAGGGACTTCAACAGAGAAAGATACCAAAAGAGAAGAAGATGGCTCCCCTCTTGATGCCTGTGAATCCAAATCTGAAAGGAAGCTCAGACAGCATCTGGAACAATGCTCCATTTTACAGATGAGGAAATGGAGGTTGGGGGAGTTTAAACGGCTGGCCTCCTGTCACCCAGGTTCTCTGGTTCCTGACCCACTCTTCCCATAAACAAAGGATGGAAAGGAGACATGTTTGGTTTGAATGTTATGAAGGGGAATAGTAGGAGAGGGGTGTGGGGGAAATGGGACATCATGGAGGTTGGAGACCAGGCCTCCAGAACCTGTCAATGGCTCCCAGAGAAAGAAGCATGCCTGGCCACCTCATGCCAAAGTCGGAAGAAAGAAAAAAGTCGGGTCCTGCTTCTCCTGGAGTCCCAAGTCTTCTTAAGGCTCCACTTCTTAACTTTTTCTCAAGGAATTAACCTTGTCCAGGGAGTTTCACTCCTTATTCCTGAAGTGTTTTTTGTTCTTTGCTATTAACAATAATAGCTACCATTTATATAGCAAAGACTTTATTATTTCATTTGATCTTCTAGTAATGGAGGTCCTATTATTATCCCCATGTTACAGATGAGGAAACTGAAGCAAAAGGATGTTAAGTGACTTCCCCAGGGTCACACAGTTATTAAGTATCGGAGGCCACATTTGAACCCATTTGAATCTAATACTCAATCTAATCAGCCTTAAAGGGAGAAGCCTAAAATGGTTGGTTGGACATTTTAAAAATTAACAATAGGGAGAATAGAACTTCTGAGGTGGTTGAAGGGACAGACTGCAGAACTTGGTGAGCTGAATTTGGCATCACAGGACCTGAGTTCAAATTCAACTCCGTGATCTCTGGTAATTCATTCAACCTCTCCAGGCCTCAGTTTCCTTTTCAGTAAAAAGAAGGGATTGGACTAGACAGTCTCTTAGATTCCTTTCAGCTCTAAATCTCTGAGGAAAACGGTTGGGCAAAGTGGCCCTTTGCCCTTTGATTTTGTTAATTTAGCAAGAGCTATTAACTACTATTTACAGGTTCATTAAGAGAAAGTTCTCTGACTGTTATCAGAGCCTCCTTATCCGGACTGTCCATTTCCAGCAGGTCTGAGACAAAGGTCTGTCGGTGGCCCGCTGGGGCCAGACAAAATCGATCCAAGGCAAAGCGGAAGGGAGTAGCGACTCCCCACCCACCCTCACAGCTCTTCATCGGGTTGGGAAAGTGGGTGGGTGAGGAAAAAGGACGAATCCACTCATTCATCCGAAGCCTGGAGCACCAATCTCTGTGTTTCTATAGACTGGTTCCATCTTGGTGGCCTCTAAACATCATCTGTCTGGCTCGTTTTGACTTGTTTTGTGCTCCCTGCCCCCCAACCTTCACCCCTCCACAGAGGCGCTTCTGGGAAACCTCAGACTATAGCTTCTATCTGTGCATATGAAGATCCCAGCGTCCAGTATTCACCTTAAATTCACCACGTCTTGGTGGGAACAGGAGAAAGTCTTTCTGTCACCCTTCTCAACAAATGCAGAAAACTCATGGAGGTCTCTGGTAGCCCAAAGGCAATCCGTATAATTCTCCCTCTCTAGCAAATCCCACCTTCTCCTCAAGCACCTATAAGTCTCCCAGGATCATTTTGTGGTTGTCCTTCTCTCATGTCTGACTCTTTGAGACCCTGGGATTTTCTTGGCAAAGATACTGGAGTTGGTTTGCCATTTACCTCTCTAACTCATTTTATAGATGAGGAAACTGAGGCAAATGGACAACATTGGTTCTTTCTTTTTCATCTTCACCGTTCCCCTTGCCCAGAATACACTCCAGTCTCACCTTAGGACCCCTGGCTTAACTTAAAACTCAGATCAAGCGTTTCCTCCTACAACACTAAGCCTTTTCTGTTCACCCAATTGTTAGGACTCCCTCCCTCCCCCAAAAGAACTTCTTGGATTTTATAGAGTCTGTATTCTTCTTAGCCATCCCTCCTAACAGGAAGCAATGAGATCCTAAAGTCCTCGGGCCCCTCAGCCCTTCAACTCTCACCCCTGTATATTTGTACTTGTTGTCTGGGCCTATAGAGTGTAAGCTGCCTGAGGGCAAGAGTGGCTTCCACTTCGTTTTGTGGCACTAATGAATGAATGATTAATGCATGCTTGTTTGGAGGCTCAATGGACCAATGTGGGCCCTCGTGCAGTCACTCCAGGCTGCCACATTTCTGGGTCCAGAGAGGCCATGAACTTGGGTGGAAAACAATGGGGCGAAGGCCGGGCCTTTATTTCGCACCTTGCCTCCCTTCCCCTCCCCTCCCCCACACGGGGCCCTAGTGCCTCGCGCCTGCCGGGGTTGGGGGCAGGGAGGGCACGCCCCCTCCCCCCTCGAGCCCCGCCCTTGCACGTACACTGGCACGTGGCAGGCGCTTCAGAAAGGCTCCTGTGAACGGATTGATGGACGAGGGCACCGGGCGCCAGCCCAAGGTCACAGAGGTCACCGAGTACGGAGCGGTCTGAAGCTCGGGGCACAGGCCCTGAAAACCTGGTTCCAGGGCGCGCCCCCAGCGAGGTTTCCCCTGAGCGAGGGCCCGCGCCCCTTCCTCGAGTCCGCACTCGCGGGGCCTCGACCCAGCCCGAGGCTCCAGGGAGTTTTTCTTTCCTCAGAGCGCAGCGCCTTTAAGGCCGTATGACGTCACGAGGCACGTGCAGCGGGCGGGCCCTGTTGCCAGGGAGCGGCGGCGGCGGCCGGGGCGGGGCGGGGGCGGAGGGAGGTGGACGAGGCCGAGACCAGGCGGCCGCCATTGCCCTTGCACGGAGCGGAGCGCAGCGCCTGGACGGACGCCGCCGCCGCTACCACCATGGGCCAGTGCGGCATCACCTCCTCCAAGACCGTGCTGGTCTTCCTCAACCTCATCTTCTGGGTGAGCCCGGCCCGGAGGACCCCGGGGGGGGAGGTGTCGGAGAGTCCGGGGCCGGGGTCCCCCGCGGCAGGAGGGGAGCCGGGCCCCCGAGGCCGGCGAGGCCCGAGGCTTGGGGCCGGGACCGCCGGGAGTGGGGGAGGGGAGGCCGCGCGCAGCGGGGGGCCGAGGGGGGAGGTGCGGCTGGGGGGCGGGGCGGAGCCGCCGGGATTCGCGGTAGCCCCCCCCCACCGTCTGGCCCGGGCTTTATTAACCTCCTATCTGGGGGGGCCTGTTGGTTACCCCTTAAGTAACCGATCTCTAGTTATAGGCGGGCCCCGTTAATTAGCACCCCCTATTGGTTAGCCATCCCTCAGTCATAGGCGGGTCCCGTTGATTACCCCCCATTGTTTAGCCACTACCACCACCCCCCCCCAGCCCCGGGTGGATCCCACTGATTAACACTCCCCATTGAGTAAACGTTCCATTGTCCTCGGCGGGTCGCATTTCTTAGCACCCCTATTGATTAGCTACCCCCCCCAGCCCCAGGTGGGCCCCATTGGCAACCCCCCCACCCCCCCCGCATATTTATAACCACCCTCAGCCTTTGATGGATCCCAGTAGTTAAACCTCTCCCATTAACACCCCTGTCTGTCCCGGGTGGATCCCATTGCTTAACCCTCCTTGATTAACAACCTCCAGCCCCAAGTGGATCCTATTGACTAACCCCTAGTAACACCCCTCCCCCAGATAAAATGAATCCCACTGATTAATCCCGTTGCCCCCCCCATCCCTTTGATTGACACCCCCCATTAACCCTTCCATTGAACTTTTCCCTAGATCCTATTGTTTATCACTTCTCCCCTTGATTACTGCCGCCCCCCGCTTCCTGTGGATTAACACCCCCTTACACGTATCCGTCATTGAGTAATGCCCCCGTCCCCCCTCCCTGGCTGAATCAGGAAGTCAGGTTAGAAACCTGAGTCCCCGGGTGAAGGAGAAGCTGCCTCTTCTTCCTCCCCCTACCCAGCCCCCCAGGACATCCATCTTCTCTCCAACCTTGCTGACCTTCCCACAGGACCAGACCGCATAGGAGTAAAAGGCCCTGCAGATTGACTGTTGGCAAAGCAAAGTGAAGGGATTCTTGTGTCTGGAAACTGGGCATTGGTCCATTTGCCAGAGCCCAGCTCCAGCTAGCTTAGAATCCACGGATCCATCTTAAGAGGGAAAGCTGAATAAGTGTGTGTTTAACTGATGTCTGTTAAAGCTTCCCCAGAGGTAAATGGGGATTGAAGCTTGTGACTCAGTTACCTCCAGAATGTGAAAGCTGTGTTTGTGCTAGCAGGGAGTTTGTTTACAGCAGTGTGAACAGATTATCCTAGGACTTCATCTTGGACAGGAACCCAAGGGTGGTTGTACTTATCCCTTTGGAATTTCTGTTGCCTCTGCTTAGTTCAAGCCCAATTACCTTATCCCTGGACTGCTGGCATAATCCCAGCTCCTCTCTGAGAGTAGTCTAAACCGCTTTGATCAGTGTGTCCTGACTGTCTTCAGGATAAACAGAAGCCCAAATTCAAAGTCCTTAAAGATGCAAATTCCATTTTCTTCAAGCCTTTTCTGACTTTTCCAGTCCACAGTGATCTCTAGTCTTTTATAAGACATATGGTCTGTATTACATGTGGAGAGACAGCATGGTGCAGTGGACAGAGTTGGCTTAGAAGCCAGACACTCCACCCATCCCAACCCTAGGGGCCAATCTTGCCTCTGACCCATACTGACTGTATGACCCTGGGCAAGTCCCTTCTTGAAGCTCTGCAGCCTAGCCACAGACCTTGGTAGGGACTGGCCTCACACTTGAGTGAAACCACTGGTCTAATCACTCACCCTCGGAAACTGGGCAAACCTAAAGAACTCTGTGTTGTAACTAGTATTGCTCACCTCTCTCCAAAGAGACGGGAAGCTCCCTGAGAGCAGGAGCTGTCCGGCAGACTCCTTGGACTCCTCTATGCACTGACATTAGCTCTGGCTGGGGGAAGATGATCTGCCCTCTGGAATTTAGACATTATTGCAATGAGATAATTATAACAACTGTTGACTTACTGTTATTGAACTTTGATTTATTCAAGAAGTCAGGAAATTAACATTCTAAGCCACGTTTACAGGAATTATTGAAACTTCAGTGTCAGCTTGCTTGATGTGGGCACTTCTGCCAGTGAAGAGTTGGCGCTGGACTTGACTTGCCCTCTTGCCTCCGTTTGTCTTGCTGAGTTTAGGCTCATCCTGCTGGAGGAGAAGCTGCCTCTGAGCTAGGTCTGTTGTGCAGAGGGTAGCTACAGAGTTGTTGTCTGAGCTAGAAAGCAGGGGATGTGATGGAAGTCAAGGTTAGTATCCTAAATTCAGGAAGCAGCCATTAGGTTTTGATAGGCTGTCATTGGAGTTACCACCAACATGGATAGCTCTATTAATTTCTTTCCTGTACTAACTTAAGCTAGGGTGAATACACATCCCCATTTCTAGGCTGCATTTAAATCAGTATTTTATTTTTTAATGGAGCAATATGTATTTCTTATCTATGTCAGATCAGAAGTTTTTCGTATCTATGTGAGCCGGTGGAGCCCTAGGCGGCTTTTAGATGGGAACAGTGGACTGAGGATAGGCATTAAAGGTTAATTGATCCGGTAATGTCTTAAGTTACATCTTTTTATATCTTAATATCCTGATTCAGTTAAAAGTTGGTGGAGTAGTAGTGGTTGCATTTGTGAGCCCTGACTGCAGTTTGCACCTGTGCACATTTCTGACCACTGAATCTCAAGAAAGAAATAACCAGAGAATGCTAGCTGGGTAAGGTGCAGAGAAGATGCACGAAAATGGTGTGGGATCCTTGGAGTGCCGTGAAAAAGCTAGAAGGAAGCTCTGTAGTCTAAAGAGACACAAACTAAGAAGTGGAAGGAGAATTTTGATAAGATGATCAGGGGTGTGGCTAGGCTGAACATAAGCTTATTCTCCAAACCTCAGAATTTTGGAACCTGAGGGAGCAGCCATTCCTTGATGCTTGAAGAAAAAGTAACAATTTAAATGAATAGATCCCTAGTTGTGCTCTAATCAAAGAGGCAGCCCTGGAAATACTTAAATAAATTCATAAATGGTGGTCATTCAATTCTGGAGGGTAGTTAAAGAGTTAAACTTGCAGGTTGTTGTAATTAGGCACTTCTGCCACCCACACCCCCAGCCCATGGTGTCACTGTCAGAGGCCAGATGCTGCCCTGGACAATCCATTGAGCTAACCCCGGTGGCATTTCTAAGGCTCTTAGTCAACTGTCAGTCAATTTTGCTTTCAGGCTCTTAATCACATGATTAAACTGAGTACTTGAGAAAGTTCTTTGTTAACACAGATGACTCTTGTTTGTAATTATTCCTTCACACAACCTGTAAAGTCAGCTTTTAAATCTCTCAGCTAGTGCTTTGGGATGAGTACTTGCTCATTGTCCCTGCACTGTGCTGTGCGGTGTGGGTGTGGGTGTACGTGCCACAGAAAATGTCCTTGCTCTTGAGTTTATACACTCAGCTCTGACGCTTGGGATCTTTGGACTCTGGGCTTTCCCTGTGGGTGCCTCAGTTTCTTCAGTAAACCATCTGTGACTGTACTTGCATGGTCTACTTTATAATTCTTAAATTGACATAGAATCGAGAGCTGCTGTTGGAATCTGCTTTCAATTCTGGCTGAAGTTTTGTCACTGCAGGCTTAGTTGCTTGCAGCCATGGGGTGGGGTCTTCTCTAGTTTCACTCTGATGGCCACCTTGTAGCATGGAGGGGCCTCAAAGGCTGTGTCCAGCAAGCCTAAGATTCACCCGGCTGGAAAGGCTCCCCGGGTGGAGTCCCAATTCAGTGGCCTGTTGTCCCAGGAGCAGCCTGGGTATGTTCATAGGTGCTTGCTGACAGCCTCAGCAACCCAGAAGCTATGCCCAGTCACAGAACATCCTGGGAGTTGGGGGGGTATGCAGACCCATAAAGTCACAGGTCTTTGAAGTACAGAAGAAGGAGGGGAAAGAAGGGGAATGCTGCTGTAGGACAGCACTGCAGTTTGGGTCTGAGGGGAACATTTGAACTTCCCAGGACCGGCACACAGTTCGGTTCTACCAAAATCCCCTTTGCAACAAATCATAGGTACCTCTCCCCTCGTAGACAATGGAGAATTGACCATTCTGTCAATTCTAACTGAAGGGAAGATTGTCAAAACATATTCTTCCTTTGCTTAAAATGAGCGTTGATCATTTTGCTTTTCTACAGAAAACTAAACAGTAAATGCTCAGCACTCCCTGCTACCCCCCTAGACTTCACCTGTGCTGGAAAACAGTCGGGCAGAACTTCTGGGCTGAGGAGAGGATCTTCTGCTCCTGGGGCTGGCTGGTTTTCACCAGACCTCAATGAACTCTGCTTTCACAGTAGTCATGGGGGACGGTGCCTTAGGGTTGGCAGAGGCTGCACTATGGACTGCATTTTTTATCTAATAATTAAGTCTCCTTTGGGAGAAAAACCCAATACTGTTTCCCTCTCTCCCCCCTTTTTGGGCAGGTTGTCTTTCTGACCACTTCCTGTAATTTAACTTACACTTGTCATCCATTAGTACCCCCTACTTCAAGCAAGTACATTATGTAGAAAGTATAGATTTACAAAATCAAAAATGACAATTTGCTCTACAGAAGTATTTACTGGAGGATTTGTTTAACTGGCAGATCTCCTCAGTGTCTTTATGATGATTCATTGGTCTTTGGCACAGGATTTACTTAGTCCTGAAATCACAGTCATCTAGCTCAGGGCCTTCATTTTCCCAATCAGGCCAAATGACTTCATGCAATTTCTGTCTGCTAAGTGGTAGTTTGAAGGTTTGAACCCAGGTGTTCTGATTCAAAATCCAGTGCTGCTTTCCGTCAATTTAAAAAAAAAAAAAGCAACACCTCATTTTGCATGTTTCAAGAACACCTCTCCTGTTTAACTTGAAATATGTCTTTGCCTTGTCCTGCCT